TGGCCTGTATGGCCTGTAGCCACATTGGGATGGGAAATTAGACGTTTAGACTTCTATATGGATGTTTGCAAGTGGCATCTGCATTAATTAAAGCATCGTAACATAGCAACAGCAGTTTAGTAGGTGGTTTTTCACCGGTACAGCACTGGCCAAACGGTGTCATTTGGGGATCTTCACCTAATTGGATCTGCATTTTCGTTAGAGTATGCTTCACCCTGAGATAAGTAAATATTTCCCTTGAGGGCAGGGAGAATTCTACTTGCATGGATTGAAAGAGTTTTAGGCTTGACTCATCATTAAGTGAACCTAAGGTAGTGGCTCCACCTTTGATTTAGTTAGTAAGCAGTATATCTTGGGAGAAGGATGCAAGGGACTGTATTGGAGCTCTAGACGCCAAGCTTATAGGGCCTAACAGGCCGTGAGAACATTGTTTCCATTTTTGCAATAAAAATTTTGAGCTTGCCAGTGTGGTCTAAGAGGTTGAATACATGCCTCTTCCAAAGGGAGCCACACCAGAGTAGTGCTACACCACACTCCAGGCTAGAGGCTTTGTAGTACATCTTTACATTGGTATACCGAGACCACCTTTTTTGCAAGGGGAGCTAGGATAGGCGGCTGGCTACTCTGGGTGTTTGTTTTTTTCAAAATGTGTACATTGAACATGACTTTTATGTTGTGCAGTATTTTGTTAGCAACTGATATTGGGATAGTGCAAAAAAAAAAATAGAGGACATGGGGCAGAGACGTCATTTTAACAGTGTTGATTTGCCCCAGCCAGAAGATTTCCTTATCCTTCCAGTTATCTAGTTGTGTTTTTAACTCGTGCATAAGTGGAATGGGGTTTTCCCACAGTACTTGATAATGGAATTTTGGTAGATTGATTCCTAAATATTTCAGGGAGGATTTCCTCCAACTAACATGGTATGTTTGTTTTAGGCTAAGCAATGTTGTGTGGAAGATACCTATTGATAAAGCTTGAGTTTTGGTTGCATTGTTTTTGTAGAAGGACACTCAACCATAACAGTCTAGAAGTGTTAAAAGATGGGATATAGATTGGTCTGGTTGGGTTAAAAACAGCAGAATGTTATCTGCAAACAGTGTGATACCCTGCTCCCCTACTGTCATTTTGAGGCCTGTGATAGCGGTATGGGATTTGATATGTCGGATAAGAGGTTCTAGACATAGGATAAATATTAACGGGGAAAGCGGACATCCTTGGCACGTGCCATTAGAAATTGCGAAGGGTTTGGATAGAAACCCAGAGTTAAATAGTTTTGCCATGAAAAATTGATATAATGCCATTAGGCTGAGAATGAAAGTTTCTGGAAACCCCATTTCTGAAAGTGTAGTTTGCATGTACTCCCAATTTAAGTGATCAAATGCTTTTTCAGCATCTAAAGCCAGTACCAAACCACTTTGTTTACTTGATTTGGCCTAATTAATTTGATTTAAAAAGTGTCTGGTATTGTCTTCTACTTGTCTGCCTGGGATGAATCCGACCTGTTCTACAGAGACTAACTGGGATAGAAATGGTTTTATCCTTGACGCCAATTCATTAGCGTAGAGTTTGAAATCTGCATTCAATAAGGAGATTGGTTTTAAATTGGTGCAATCCGTGGGTTGCTTTCCCGGTTTGGGCAGGATTACAACATGGGCATCTAACATTTCTCGTGATAAGGAGCCAGTTTGCTTAATGCCGTTAAACAATTTGGTAAGGAAGGAAGTCAGCATAGGTTCCATTCTAATATAGTAATAATAAGAGAACCCGTCAGAACCTGGTGACTTGTGTTTTGGTAGGGATATAATAGCGTTATGTACTTCTTCTTCTGTAAATGGGCTATCTAGCTCGTTGTTGGGTTATGCATGGTAACTCTATGTCATGTAAGAATTGGTGTATTTCTTCTAATGAAGGTTGGTGTAGTGTGGTATCACTCTGCAAGTTGTAGAGTTTAGTGTAGTAAAGTGCCAGTTCATCCACTATATAATTTGGGTTAAAAAGTTTAACATTCAGGTTTGAATTTATATAAGGTATCTTGGTTTGTATATATCTATTTTTAAGTTTGTTCGCCAGCAATCTGCCTGCCTTATTTCCCTGTGTGTAGTATCGCAGCTTGAGAGCACTTAAAGGACCACTATAGGTACCCAGACCACTTCAGCTCAATTAAGTGGTCTGGGTGCCAGGTACCTCTAGTGTTAACCCTGCAGCTGTAAACATAGCAGTTTCAGAGAAACCGCTATGTTTACACTAGGGTTAATCCAGCCTCTAGTGGCTGTCTCACTGACAGCCGCTAGAGGCGTTTCCGCGCTTCTCACTATGAACTGAGCATGGTCTGGCTCTGAGGGCCCATCTGAGGCTGGTGCGCCATTATCGCCATCTTGAATTATCTTAAGACGGTTTGTTTTGGTCTGGCACTTGGGGTCTGTGATCTTAAGCTTGTTGAGGTCCCGGACTCTCTCTTGCAGTGATTTTTGTGGCGGTTCGGTTGTTGGTAATGTGCTTTTGGGCATAGCAGGTACGGAGCTCTTATTCCATGCGACTTTTCCTGCCAGGTGGTTAGCCACGCCCCCACCTACCATACATTTCTGTAACATTTCTCAAAAATACAAACAAGCAATAGATGTGTACACAAACCACAGTGCAAAAAGTGCTCAATTAGCAATAAGCAGAAAAAAACCTCCCTGGCCGGGTGGAATTCCCCAAAGACTTCCTCCTGTCTTCAACAGTATATACACAAAAAAAGGGGGGGACAATCTGCTAAACCAAATAACAAGAACAGTACATAGAGTAATACTGTATATATAAGTAAACCAAATGTCAAATTCACAAGTGGCCACTCACACTCTTGTTGCAATTAGAAAAGCCTTTAAAATGGTTTTCTTTTTCAGCATATATGCCCTTTTAAATTCAGTTCTTCCATCTCTATTAGTATCTCTTGGAATAGTTGAAAGGTGTGTGCTCAAGAGAGAAATATAACAAAATTGTAGTGCGCATTCAAAAATAGAATAAAAAGTATTTAATAACTTACATCTAAGTATAAAACAATTTTCACTGTCATCACTAGGGGTCCTATGCGTTTCGTCCGTATATAGGACTTCCTCAGGGACTTCAGTGATCAGTGACCAGCAATGACCAAGAAACAAATCAACAATAAAAAAAACCCTCCCTCCTCCACCCTTTCTATTTTTCTATTTCTATTTCTATTTTTATATTTATATGTTTTATATATTTATATATTTATGTGTATGTTTATATTGGAAATTGAATACATAGTATATATGTGCTTAATAGTATAGAGTAGTGCCATTCAAGATAATTTAACACCATTCCCCCTCTCTTCTCTACCTCCGGTTCACATATACTGAATGCTCTTGTTCCTAAGTGGAACATAGAGAGAAAACAGATTGAGTACGGCGAACTTCCGGTTTCGGGAATGGAACGCATGGTGGAACGCATAAACGTTTGAAAGACGCACAGAATGACGTCAGAAACGCCGGACCGAAAATCGGAACACCTGAACTAAATAGAAGATTATGTGGACATTGGGGGGAGGTATAAAGGGTGGAGGAGGGAAGGGTTTTTTTATTGTTGATTTGTTGGTCATTGCTGGTCACTGAAGTCCCTGAGGAAGTCCTATATACAGACGAAACGCGTAGGACCCCTAGTGGTTACAGTGAAAATTGTTTTATACTTAGATGTAAGTTATTAAATACTTTTTATTCTATTTTTGAAAGTGCACTACAATTTTGTTATAGTTCTCTCTTGAGCACACACCTTTCAACTATTCCAAGAGATACTAATAGAGATGGAAGAACTGAATTTAAAAGGGCATATATGCTGAAAAAGAAAACCATTTTAAAGGCTTTTCTAATTGCAACAAGAGTGTGAGTGGCACTTGTGAATTTGACATTTGGTGTACTTATTTTTTTTTTTTAATTCTTTATTTTTCTTGTGCATAAATTGACATTAAGCGTGAAAGGTCACCATAGCAGCATCAAGTTTGACCATATCTTTACAAATTGTGACAGATTAGTTGGCACTTTTTTTTTTTTTAAAACATGAAAATATCTAAACAAGTAGGCATCCTAATAACATACATTGTGTAAAAGTAATAAACAAGTAAGCAGAATCAGGTTGTGTCAGATAGGGATGACGGTTACCGCATTTTAGACATATTGAATAGGTCTTGTGTCATGCTAAACCATAATTATTACTACTGTAGCATAGTGACCACTGGGTGTCATTTGTGAGGTTACGGTATATTTTGCATTGGTGTTATAGTATGTAAGTGCGCCCCTCTTAAGCTAGTAAGTAGACAGCCTCCATATTTGGGTCACCCTGGCTCGTTAACTAAAAAGCAAAAACAAAACGGTCTTACTGCAGGACCTACGATTCATTACATGAAACTGGCAATAGCATCTTGATAGGCATGTAAACATTAAGGCTGTGGTAAACTAAGTGATAACATCAGGTGTGAGCGTGGGGGGATGGGCCCTCAGCGTACATGTCTTATCTCGTAGTGTCCATGGCAGGTGACACGGAGGGCTAACTCTACTTCAGCCTGGCTAAGTACCTGGTGGGGCATAAAGATTAAATACAACAAACTAAACTTAAGCAAGATGGTTGTTAGGGCCAAGACAACGTAATACTGGACGAGTCAACGCTATACAAAAACTGGATGGCTCCTTGCTAGTTGAGGCCATGGGCCAGCTGACAGACCTGTTCAGGTAGTTTGTCAGAATGTCTATTAGTGGATTCGCTGCGGATGGCATGGGACCAGTCTTGATCCCCTGCCTACCGGTGTTGCTGAGGTCGTGGAGTGTCGCGTTGTTTTGTGCCAGTCTTTCGCTGAGGGTGGTTCTCTGGCGCGGTGTGCGCTCGTTAGAGTAGGTCTGTTGTGCGTGTCCATGTAAAATGGGGGGTGGGCTATTAACTAAATGCCGTAAGTCAATTGTGCGGTAGTCCTGCCTGGTGGTTTGTCGTAGTCCTAGCACTTGTCTTCTCAGGTGTCCGCCAGTTGCCGGTTTGCCCGTTGCGCCTTGTAGGCGGTGGAGGACGAGGCACCGGGGGTGACTGGTTGGAACGGTCTTACGTTTGCTACATCCCAGGTGTGTTGGGTCTTTGGCCTCTGGTCGGTATTAGCTTGTTCCTGTCTCGGTGATAGGCCCAGCGCTGTCAGTACTGAATCTATTTCGGATGGGTCAGTGACCCGTTTGGATGCGCCTTTATGCGTGATGAGCAAGCTTCTGGGGAATGCCCAACGGTATGGGACTGAGGCTTGGCGGAGAGTGGTCGTCAGGGGTTTGAGGAGGCTTCTCCACAGCAACGTGGGCCTGGATAGATCTTGGAAGAATGACAGGCTAGTTGTCTCGAAGAGGTGGGATGCCTTTCCTCTCACCGCTGCCATAAAGGTTGCTTGGCCTGTCTGCGTTTGAAATTGGAGGATGATGTCTCTCGGGGTGTCTGCTGGGGCTCTAGCGGCTCTTGGGATTCTGTAAGACCCGTCCGTTAGGGCCGTCTTCATCTGCTGTGGTGTGAGCAGGGAGGCGAGAAGCCGCCCAAGATATCCCTGTATGCCTTCCTGGGTCACTGTTTCAGGGACCCCTCTGATCTTCACGTTGCGGCGTCTGTGCCGGTCCTCCATTGCGTCCAGGCGGGTGGTGAGCAGTGCCTGGGCGCGCTGCAGCTCTGTGTTGTGAGCCTCTAATTGTACACAGCGTGCGGCGAGGCCCTGCGATTCCGCCTCCGTCTTCCTCATTCGCCCCTCCACGGTGTGAATCTCTTCTCTCAGTACCGCCATGTCTGCCGCGAAGAGGGAGCGTATATTGCATAGGAGGACTTTTATGTCCCCTTTGGTGGAGGGTAGGTCATTGTCTTCGTCTGAAGATACACTGTGTAATCCCCCTGTGTCGGGGAAGTCGTCCAGCTCATCAAGGAGCTGTTCTGCGGAGGACGCCGAGGCAGAGTCGCCATTTTGAGTCGGAGCGGGGGTTACTGCGGCCTTGGCGGGTCGGAGGAGAAGTGCTCCGATATCACGAGCCCCTGTCAGTTTTGCGGCCCCCCGGTGTTTGGGCTTCTTTCCCATCTCTGGGTGCTGTGAAATAGGGTGGTATTTCGCTTTTTGTTCCGTTATTTGACGGATTTTCAGGCTGTTGGCTACGGAGCTCTGAGGCTGCACGTCCGCTTCCTTGGTGTACTTATATATACAGTATTACGCTATGTACTGTTCTTGTTATTTGGTTTAGCAGATTGCCCCCCCCCTTTTTTGTGTACATTTCTCAAAAATAGGAAAACTCTGTAGTCTAAATACCACTCCTAAAATATTGCTTTTGCAATAGTTAGATTTTTGGTAAAAAAATATGTAGTCAAAGTAAGTTTCTCTACTAAAAAGGAAATTAAACAAGATATGTAATCCAGAGCACTACTACCAGGTGTGATACCTGCACTTGTTCAAATATATATATAGTTGTTAGACTTGTGCACTGCAGAAATATTTGGTTTGTCTGAATCAATTTGTCCATAAAAAATTCTTCCATGCAGCATTTCTGGAAAAATAATTCAGCTGAACCGAAAGTTCATATTTACGAAAAATAATCCCAGTCAGAATTCAGTTGACTGAATGCCAACCCATTTTTTACCAAATAGAATGTTTACTGAAGCTAATACCAGTCAAAATTCAGTTGACCAAATTCCAAATCAATTTTTACCAAATAGAATGTTTTACCATTTAAATTCAGTTTACATTTGATCATCAATGAAGACAACCTGGCATATAAATAACAAGTCTAGGTCATTAGAGTTATTTGATATTGTTTGAGAGTTTATGGCTAATTTTACCTTGTGAGCTGAATCACACTTACTGTACGACACAGATTCTATGCAGCTGTAGCAATCTATGAATGCCTCTATAGAGGTATATTTAGGACCACTGTTCACATCACTTTCATTACTACCCTCAAAATACATAGTGAAATAGTTTATGTAAAAATCATCTGGTTCGGGCATTTTAAAAATCATCTTCAGATGGTTTACTCTTATTGTATTTTTTTTCTCAATTTAATAGTATGTATTTTATGATTTTTATGATTTGGTAAATATGATGATACCATCTCGTATTGCCCCATTTTGATTATAATACAAACCACGGAACATGATATCTTTCCTTCTACTTGTATATCCCAATGACCAACACAGTGTTATGTTCACTGTTCATGAAAGTGACATTTTTACATGTTTTTTTTTACCATCATCTACAGAATTTTCATATAATGCAGCATGATTTCAGTTTCTTTGTGTTTTACAGTTGTGTGGAACCTAAAACCACCACTTTTATTCACGTCAGCGTCAAAATACAACCCCAACAGGAATGTAGAGATTTATATTTAAATTTTAAGAAAATAATTTCAAATACCTGATGTCAAAACAACTTCCACATGTATTACATTTACTATGCTGACAAAATCTATTTGTTCTTGGAGGATCTTGATTACATTGATTTGGAATTTTAATTACATCATCCATCTGTCTGAAACTTTGGATGTTGTGATTGCATGGAGTAGGTTAGAAATGTATTAAATTCACACCTTCTTTAGAAAAAAAAAAAAAAAGAAGACAGATTGCTTATACGGTAAGAGTCCACTAAGAACCCTGTCAAATAAAAAACAAGACGTTAGAAATCTTTATCTAGTTATCTACCTGACAAATAAAGAAACACACTAATGCTAAATATGCATATACCATTCTCATATTAGCTCATATCTGCATCCTTTTCAAAACATTCACTGATAAGATTTTCATCAAAGCTTAGAGTTGTCATAACTGGCAATATATTTGCATATCTTACATATGGTTATATTGCACCTTATTAAAATTCATCATGTCATTGAGAAATAATTTGTGTGTATTTCAATTTTACAACCACTGATAAATACATACCCTAGGTTTGGATACGATGCTACTTTAATAAATCGAGAAAAATGCCCTACAGCATGTTTTTACTTTTGCTATCAGAATAATTGAATGGTGTCTGGCTATGTAAGGCTGTCCCTAATTTGAAAGGAATTCAAGCACCTACATGTACATTTGCAGATAAAAACAGGTTATATTAAAGCCTTTTAGCTTGACTCTAAAATTTAAATATCCACCCATTTATAGATTTAAATAAAAACCAAAGGCCAAAACCATTACAGCTAGATGTACATGATAGAGTACACTTGGATAGAATCGTTATTTTGAAAATAACTTGGAAAGTATATTAATAAATTATGATCAGAATTAAAAATAATAAAACATATGATGACAGCCAAACTGGAAACTGAAGATACTGACAAACTGAAATTAAATAATTAACAGATTTATAGTTTAAAAAGCATGTACTCTATGATCTGACAAAAGCACACCCAGTGTATCACTGATGATTTGATTATATGTGTTTTAGCATGAATTATGCAGAAAATAGTATATATTTCCATTTACTAATGATTTACTATGCTTTGCAAATAACTCCTTAATGAATTACGAGGAAGGAAATTACATATTCTTTTGTGTTTTTAATATATCAGCAATATTTAAATATTTAAATTCCTATTTAAAAAAAAAAAAAATTAAAACAATCAATTAAGCAAATATCATAATGAAATGAGATCAGTAGATAGAGTGCAATGCTTGACTTAACAACAAATATATGGTTATAGGGAGTATGTGGACAGGGATTCCACAGCTAACTGTAAGGGCAGGAAGGTAATAAAGGAAGTCCATTCCTATTTTTTTTAATTGAAATATTAACTTATTCTTTGTATTTGTTTTGTAGGAAGGACAGGGTTCAAGGAACCAATGAGCGTGCTTATCATCTTATCTTATCACCAATTTTAACACATTTAAACCAATTATAAAGCTTATAATGGTCAAATACACAAACTGAGACCTCCTCTTACACTGAAAGAGAAGATTATTTCCCCAAGGTCAAATTGGACCGAGATTCTACCCAATGTGGTAAATACTTCCCATCAGTTGTAACTTTTAATGATTAGAAGCAAATTATGTGGAATGGTTCATTGTAATGCAGCAGACTGAAGAAGCTTAGAGCGGTTTGGTGTATATTAAATTTCTTAAGCATTCAGTCTTTCTGTCTTGGTGCGTTACCTTAAGATTAGCAGGGTTTTAGTTAAACACAAACTCATGGTTAATGAATTTGCTTTTAAGTCATTACTTTTATCAGCAGATGCTAGGTTATAGCAATAACACACTTAGAAAACAGTTCTGATAATTAGTAAAAATGTTAAACCTTGAGGTTTCTGGAATTATACATAGGTTGAAAAATACAACAATTAAAAGGTATCCAGAGGCTAATCACTGAATTCACTAATTACTTAAGTTTTCTAATCTACCTCTGAATTAAGTAAAACATATTCTGAAGATTTCCTAATGTTCTCACACTTGTGCAGAGGGTAAAAGGTTTTTTAATTAACGGGGGTCTGTTGGACCTCTATTTGCCAGAGAAGACCTGCTCAGTAGTTCCACTTATCTCCTCACCCATGTGGGACAGGTTAGGGGTTTATTGACTAATGGCTGGGCATCCTTTGGACCCTTTATCAGTCACAGGAACCTAGGGCTCCATCCTATTCCCAGACCCTGTGTGGTGGGTTGTGGGTTAAAGCTTTGTAGGAGTTGGGTTTGCTTGTGTTCCATCTACTTCCCCTAGCAGCAGTGTCCCTACACTCTCCTCTGTGTATACAGTACCTAAATGAAATAACTATTCTTGAAAATAAAAACATATTAAATACACAACATTATATAAATAAAATATTGGCCATTTACATTAGTCCATTTATAATCTCTATAACCACATTTACCTCGAGTTAAGCAGGAAATTCTGGATTACCGTAGTACCTAGGGAAATAGACATTCCCCAATAATAGCTATTACAAAATAAGATAAGTGATAAAAAGTCAACTGTAAATATACAAATAGGGGAAACCCTCAGCCCCTTACTCATACAAAGAAAACAAACAACGTAAAATACAAATACAGGTTGTTTCAAATAATAAGTCCAATAAATCCAAGAGTGGTTGAGGATTTTCTTGCTGATAACTGTCCACACTTCAGACAATTGTGGATTTATGAAAAAAAAACAAAAAACCCAGAGAATAACCTGTGATAGTGCAGATTGTCTAGTGCTAGTTGCAGGACATGCAACAAAACGATATGGTCAGACACATTAAAGTAGGTGAATGTCAAATATACTTTAATGCTAAAAACAGATATATAAAACAGATATATTTGGTATTTACCTATTTCAGTGTGTGTGACCATTAGTGATGTCGCGAACCGTTCGCGAACAGTTCACCACGAACCATTCGTGGCGAACTCCGCTCAGCTGACACATCCCGGCCAATCTCCAGCAGACCCTCCCTCCCAGACCCTCCCACCTCCTGGACAGCATCCATGTTGAAGGCAGCTTCAACATGGATGCTGTCCAGGAGGTGGGAGGGTCTGGGAGGGAGGGTCTGCTGGAGATTGGCCGGGATGTGTCAGCTGACCGGAGTTCGCCGTGAAAAGTTCGCGAATGGTTCGCGACATCACTAGTGACCATTTATTACACTTTTTAACCTTTTAAAGATGTTTTCACTTTTTATTGTTCCTGGCACATCTATTTAACCATTCCCTGTATAATCTACTCTGTATTATATCCTTGGTGGGATCATACCACCTAAGTGCTAATATTTGAGTGGTGTTGCTGCTCTACCAAATGTGAGCAGACCATAATTATTATTGCCTTGCATATATACCTGGTATGCTTAGAGACTGACCTACAGAGCTACATATGCATCAGTAGGGATTGTACCCAAGTATGCTGTTTTACTTGGAGCTTGTTTATATCTCTAACAAATGTGAGTGTTAGATTATATACTTTTGTTGTATGTCCTGCACGTAGCACAAGACAGTCTGCACTATCACTGGTTATTATCAATTTTATTACATAAGTCCACAAATATCTGAAGCCTGGACGGTTATCAGCAAGAATCCTCAAGCACTCTTGGATTTTGTTGGACTTATTATTTGGCGCAACCTGTATTTGTATTTTGT